CATGGCTAGGAGTGGCTTTTCTTCTTCATTCGCAACGTAATTCGACTTTTTTTTGGCTCCTCGCAATGGTCACAAGCCATCTGCCGTAAATGGGCCTGATGTCTGGGTACCAGAAGCGCCTTTGCCGACAATCACCGATCTCCGTTCCCGAGTGGGTACTTTGACACCAGTTCCTGCTATATAAGGATAGAGGCCTCTCAATCAAACTCGGAATTTTGCGCAGCGACAGCTTCTCGTTATCCTTCACCCGTAATCCTTCCACACTCCTCTACTTTTGTCTTGAATATGCCTCCGTATATACACCGCCAGCAGACCGTTCATTCTGGCGAGCTAGGACATGATGAGATCGGTCAAGGCCAGGACAAATGGGAGCCTTCACGACACCAAATCGCCATCATGGCGACGGCCGCCTTGTTGTCGCTGATGGTCGCCCTTGACGCCTGTGTCATTGTGACCTCTTTGCAGGTTCGATATCCTCCAAACGCTTTTCCATCCTTTGCATGCTCACAGTCATAGGCTATCGTTGTAGACCTCGAGCTCAGCACGTACGACGGCTTCTGGATAGGCACGGCGTACCTCCTAGCCAACGCCGTGCTGATGTTATTCATAGCGGATTTGAGCCGCGTGTTCGGTCGACGGCCATGCCTGACCATCTCGGTCGCTTTCTTTACTCTAGGCACGGTCTTGTGCTGCGTGTCGCATTCCATCGGCTTGATGTTGGTGGGACGGTCTCTCCAAGGCATCGGCGGTGCTGGCATCATCGTCTTATGCCTGTTGATTTTCACCGACTTTGTCCCTTTGCCGGTTCGGCCTACGTGGTACGGCGTAGTGTGAGGACCCTCCCTCTCGGACTCGTTCTTCCTTCTGCTGACCGCGCCATTCGTCTCTAGTCAGGCAGCATGGGCGTTGGGCAACTGTGCCGGTCCTATACTAGGCGGCGTCATTGCTCAGCACACAACGTGGCGTTGGATTTTCTACATCATGTTCCCATTTTGCGCGGCTGGACTTGTTCTCGTGCCCTGGCTCGTCAACATTGCTTCTCCGGCTGATGGAATGCCTAAGAAACTCGACGACATGGACTGGCTGGGAAACGCTATGTTCATCGGCTCGGCCACCTTGTTGCTGGTGGCCGTCTCCTGGGGAGGTTTGCGCTACAGTTGGGGCAGCGCCGGCACTCTTGTGCCGTTGTTGCTCGGGGCAGTCGGTATGGCGCTGACCATGATCTACGAGTCACGCTTCGCGATGTCCCCGTTCTTGCAACGCCGACTTTTCCAGACCGCCAGCTCCATCGCCACGTATGTTTGCGGCGCCATCCAAGGCCTCGTGGTAAGAGCGATATGATATCAAGCGCGCAATGTGACACGCTGACAGTGACCACAGATGTACGGGCAGCTTTATTACGTGCCCCTGTACTTTATGGATGTCAAGGGGTTTACTCCGGTCCAGACCGGCGTCGCACTCTTCCCCGTCATGTTCACGCTGGTGCCGGCATCCATCATCACTGGTCGACTTGTCACGGTATTCAACAACTACCAGTGGCCGATCTGGGCTGGCTGGACTCTGGCTACCGTCGCCTCCGGGCTGATGATGCTGTGGGACGTCGAGACGCCGACGAAGGTATGGGCGCCGACGCTCGTCCTTCTTGGCCTTGGCCATGGCTCCATCTTGAACGCGCAGAACATGGCGTCGCACGCTCTCTGCGACGAAGGCGACGAAGCGATCGCCGCGGCGATGTACGCCTTTCTCCGACAGTTTGGCATGGCAATCGGAGTGGGCGTCGGCGGATCCACTTTTCAGAATGTGATGCTGCGCAAGCTAGAGGACGATGGCTTGGCCCCCGCAGGTACGCACGGGGGTGCCCATGCTATTTCCGCCCTGTTCACCGCGACCGACGACGCTGAGCTGCGATCCAAGATCGTGGATGCGTACGTGTACGGCCTGCGAGGCGTCTACGGACTGTATGTCGGCGTATCCGGACTGGCGCTCTTGATGAGTTTCTTGATTCGGAGGGTATCACTGAACAGGAGCCTACGATCTGAGCACACGATGCACACGTAGGCGACGGGTCACGATAGTATCCACGGTAGCTTTCACGGCTCCAGGAGTTGAGCGTGCTTAGAGGGGGGCGTTGAATCCCACGCTTGCTTTACTAACACTCGATGGTGTGGGTAGCATTGAAGTCGTAGGACATAATGTATTTCAGGATACCACTCGACTCTAAGACCGGTCGTAAGCCTTTTTCTTTCCAAAAGTTGATACGCGAACTCGAAGGAAGGCGCGTGCAAATTATCCGCAACGAGACCTTGCTTGGTGCCATCTTAGGTAGTGAGAGCCCGACTTCCGTGAGGCCACGGAGGGGTGACTTCTGTATGTATATTGACCCTCGGTTGAGGGAGAGAGATTGTGTGAGCGGAGCATCTGTGAAGTGGATCGCTGAGCAGGACCTACGCGGGCTCCACGCGGTGTGAAGAGGCAGAATACGGGCGATAGCCCGGACTGAACCATATGAGTTTAGCCTCTCATGCGTTGTTTCCGTCAATGTAGTTCTAGAATTTGCTGTGAAGCATTCGCTTGTGGTCGAGTCTTGGCAAGGAGCATCTCTTATCAGCGTGCCCCTGATCTCCCGCGGGGTTTGCGCTCTTGGGCAGATGGCGGATGTGATTGGCTCACGAAGGGATGAGTCAGCGCATCAGATGCACTTGACCAATGGCATGGCGAAATTCGGACGTCGGTCATGGCGCGCTCAGTCCGTCAAATCTCGTGGTGCAGCTGAGCGCATTTGTCTCTAGATCCAGGGCACCATGTATCCATCACCCAGCGTGAGATGACACCGCAACAAGCACTACGACCAAAAAGTTGACCGTAAGATTTTGGAAACCAAGGTAGGGAGGGGACGCACTAGCCATCGCATGCCATCGTACGATGCTAGGTTGAAGGACCTACAGGGCGACGAGCTTAGAGGTGATCGAGTGCAAGCTTGAAATCTGAGCATTTAGGAGGCAGCAACAAAAGTAGTCTTCCATTGATATCAGCTCCGCAGACTGACTCAACCCTGGACGCTGACGTATCGCGGAAGATAGAACCTCTGCGATTGAGGAAGGACGCAGTCGACCTTTGCGGCCGATATTGCCGGCCAGCGCCGTCGTGTGAGGGCAACTTAGCCAGGATCCCGTGTTGTATCGCGGTTTTTGTATCCATATCACTCTATTGAGTCCAGCGCGTGCTTGGGGCACATTGCGCGTAGCATGGACTCAAAAAGTGTACCGTATTGTGTGACCTCTCTCGAAAGCCTGATCCCGTTGAGGTCGATCTTTTGCGCCCGGAAATGTAAAACCTGAACGGACGATACAGAAAGTCCTAAAAGTGGATAACCTCACGGGAACCTTCCTGGAGCGACGCACATCTCCAGCGTGATGCGCACGACTTCGAAGGACCGGATGGCCCGTGCAAGCAGCTTCTAGCGTCTGACACAGCCAGTTCATAACTCAAGTTGTGTATGTCACGATCCGAGCCTTTCTCCAGCAAAACATGTGTGACGGGATGTATGAGCGTTCCACCAGACATTTACGATCTCTACACCATGCCGAACCGGGACCTTTCTCGTCGTTCTTTCAAAGCAAGGTCAATCTCCAAGGTGTTCATTCGGAACGTGGATCGGTTTTCACCCTCTATTATGTCATTTCGACTCGAGAGACCGACCACCGGGCATCAGTGTTGATATGGGAAGTTTTCATAGCCGTGCTTGCTGGATCAAAGCAAACCTAGCTGCACCATGAACGTATAGGTAGTGATTGATCGATGCACGACGTGAGAGCGATACATCGCTGTGTTGACAGAGAGACAGACAATAAGAGATTGCAGACTGGCAACCGTTCAGCATCACGACCGCGAATCATTCATCCCCATGGGATGGATGCTCTGGGAAGGCCAAGGTAAGGACGAGTATTCGCGACGGCTATACTGCTTTACCTAGCCCAAGTAGGCGCTTCTAGTCCACCCTATCGAGCGCTGCATTGAACTCGTCAGACGTCCGCGCATGGCTACCGCCGCTCATCAACGATCACGGACCAGCCTACGCTCCACCAAGGCCCGTAACGAGGGTGCTATGCTGAGATGAGAGTGACCGATCCAAATGCACCGACAACTGTCCGCTGCCACCCTAGTTCACCACACCCAAGCCAGACCAGCCAGCTTGCCCTTGGCTGAGCGTAAGCCCCTTGTGGGGTTGTTGACCACAGAAAGAGTACCATTGTCATTACCGACTACCAAATCTGAGATGTGTCAGTCGCTTGCGACAGTACGTCAGGTTGTACGCCTTACTAAGGTCTATCCCGTGATCAACGTGACGCTCGTCGCTGTCGTCGTTTTGCGTGCTGCACTTATAATTGGCCCACGACTTCGTTGCGTTATCAGACGAGCAGGGACCGGCAGACAGGAAGAAGGATCCACTTGTAGTCATCAGCATTCTGTACAAGTGACTCTGAGAGAGACCTACTCGTCTTGCGCCATCAAAGAACCGTCGCGATTCACTATACAATGGTTCAAGTCAAGGACCGACCAGTTCCAATCGCCCGTTGTGGTCCTGCAAAACGCGACCATCTTATATCTTTCGTTCATCAGTGTGCCCCAATCAACGCAAGAATCTAGAAAACCGCGCGGTTGGAAAGAAGTCTGCCTTTCCACAAGCTGGTTTACATGCTGCTCTCCTGAAACGTGACGTAGGACACTGGATACAACAGCCAAGTGGCTCAGGACCCGGGCGACCCAAAATGCCATGGCGGATATCTGATGATGCCAGTAGCTAGAGTGGACCAACTTCGGATTTGTGACGTCTTTATACCTGCGGAACATGAGAGATTTCTCTTGGCCTCGGGCACAGTCATAACCTGCTCTATCCCAGAGTTGTGTGGTTTTAACCGCTTTCGGATTCTCTTAGCCACCTTCAGCTTCTCCTGCTGTGTACGATTGAGATTCTGGAGGCGCAGGCCAGAAGCACGGATAAGCGTGCGTTGTTGCGAAGTCCACTTCGGCTTCGGTAGTGATGAAGGCTAATCAGCGCCTATTCGATCTACCGGCTGCATCGAGCCGCATGCAGGTGAATGCACAAGTACAAAGGACGACTGCGTCTGCAGGAGTCGTCCTCTTTGCTGTCACCAGAAAGCATACTCCCCAGGGCATACGTGCAATGACGCCGGTCGAACTTGGAATCATCGGAGGGCTGGCAGGCACGTTGTTTCTCATGGTTGTGCTGCTATGCAGTGTCTGCAACATCAGACGAGATCAAAAACGAAGTCACACTACAGGCTATGCTGTGAGTCGCGAGGCACCTCGCCCGATGCCGAGTACTTCTGACACTTCTCAGATGTCGTGAATCCTGGGACTGCAGATATCTGGACTCGTCCTGTAACCGAGATGCAAGATGCCGGCAGTGCTTAAAACTGTTTTTTGGACAAAACGTGCACACTGTGCATTTAATGTCACGTGTATTGTATGTAGCTTCTATCAGGCGAATAAAGATGACGAATGATCAACTTGAGCACCTGCTGTCGTGCATTTGGTATTGAGCTCAATTCTCCTGAAGTTATGTGCATATGAATCCTGAGTTTTCCCATAGTCGTCAAATACTGCTCGTGTCGCACTGTACATTGCCTCTAACTCAAGGCGAGCAGAGAGACGCTGCCCTTGAAAGCTATAGTATTGATCATATGTTGCTTCCTCTTGGCAACACACTTCATCTTTTTGGACTTGACCCACACAGGCTGGGCCCATAGTCGTTCTTACTGTGTACATGCGACCACGATTGGAAGTGCGAGAATGACTGCGGTTGAAGCCGGTTATGGATACTTTGGAGTAGCTCTTGATCACGCGCTGCCCCTGGCACTGTCGTTTGCCATCCTGACCCCACATTTTGGTTTGCAAACCAACCGCTACAGCCATTACCAGAGGTTTGCGGAGGCCCATCACAGCAACTTTCGGCTTCTCAAACATTGAGAATGTTTGCGAGAGAGGAAATGACTTATGATCAATGCTGTAACATGCTGCAGCTATCACAATCATGCAACAACTGCGGGGCGTATACGTCCTAATCTTACTCGCATGCGTTACTCTCAGCGTGACCGCCATGACCATGCTATTAAAAGCGCCTCCGGCAAACACATCGATAACGGCTGCATTCGCAGGCTTCTTTCTCTCTTCATCTGCGATCACAACGCCCTTCATCTTAATCATCAGTTATGCTCTCATTCGCATCTGATGGCTCTGGCAATTTCCCTAGCTCTAGTCGAATCATTGCATGGATCCCGGTTTTTCTCCTAGATTGTGCGTTCGTTCAGCTGATTGTCGGAGCGGCTTTGTTTTCTACGGAAACACAAGCGTGGCATTTTGCCGCTATCGTCTGTCTGTGGGCTGGGTTGTTATTCATGGCGACCGTGGGTACAGCTGAATGGATTGCCGTGGAAACCAGATCGTTCAACATTCCCAGCCATTCAATGATTGAGCGCATCGATACAGAGTAAGGAGTCCCCAATCAAGTAGCTGAAGCCGCTGTTTGTCACGTTTTGGTTCTTCATGTTAGACTGAGTCAAGACCAGTCTTTCTGTACGCAACTTTAGTTGCGGAAAGTGGCACCCGCGTCATACAAGGTGTCATGCGTTATCCCTTTGTGACTCACACGGGCTTTCGGGAAGCAAGAATATCAACAAAGATGGAGAATGTGTAGATAATCATGCGAGTGCTGACTAGCTAAGCCGGGACGTAATAAATTATGTACGTGTGTTGGTACCTTTGGTTGCTTCCCAGCGTGGGCGTACGCTTGCTCCTAGTGAATCTGCCATCACCAAGTAATGGCAGTCATGGTAGATGTGTCGGCAAACCTCCGTAACAGATATGCTTGTTGGTTTGGTGACCCGCTCGGTGAACGCACCACCGACACAACCAGGTTCCCTCGTCTCACACAAAAGAAGCAATTGAAGTTGGAGGGCCTGAGTGCCCCAGGCTTTGCGAGTCGTCAATCTTTGCTTGCGGCCAACCTTGCTTGCCTTTCCCTGACGGAGTAAGCACATGGGCAAGTCGTGGCGGTGAATATGTCGCCAAACAGTCGCCAGAGCAGAGGCAGACTTGCTTCCGGCTCTCCACAATCTGGGCTTATAATGAGTTACACAATGCATTACACAGACAAAGGGTGAACAAGAGAGGAGGCGAGTCTCGCTTCTTCGAGAGCACTTACGTGGTAGGCAGCGTGATAGGAAACAAACGAGATTCTGGACTAGCTAAGACGACCCCATCCTGTAGTGACGCCGTTTGAACTTTGCTTGAGTGAGACTGGAATCGTCGAGCCGTGCAAGCTGTTTGGCCAACAAAACAACCATAGCGAGAATCACATGATCTTTCGTGGGTCGTAACAATGATTGATCGAGCGTCAGGCCTAAGGTTTGCTATCGCTCGCAGGTGACAGGACAAAAAGCTAAACCACGCCTACCATGGAGATCATTACTTCTGTACATTTACATCTCCTCTTCCCATCCATCTTGTGAGCTGGACTCTGATGAGCTTGAGATGTTCTCTGGCGAGCTACTATCTTCTGACTCATCCCAGGAAGGAACATACAGGCCCTCATAATCCCACGGGTTGAAGCATCGTGGAAAAAAGGGAAGAACGCCGTTCGAGGTAAGGTCTACGACCTTGGCTGCTTCTCGAAACTGGCCAATACGCATGGCTTTGATAGGTGTGGTGCTTTGTTCCTGTTGACTGGTATTCCACAACGCAGCCATAAGTGGTCTCAGCTCCACCGTCCTGTACCCAGAGAGCTTGACGTGCTTGTAGCTCTACTTCGGCATTAGCTTCGGTGGCTGCTATATGAAATTTTCTTACCCAATCGAGTTCGAGACGATTCCTCGCGAAGATAATTCGTAAAGCAAGGTAGTAGGTCGCTGCCGCAATGCGGCTCGGCTCAATCCCGACGTATCTCTCATCTAGTAGACTACACGTCGATAGATACTGCGCAAGCGGGAGGATTTTCGGCACCTTCGTGTCTGCGGTGCTGATTCGACGAAGGAACACGAACGGACTCGGTGTTTTGAGCGAATTCTCTAAAACGTCAACTATGGTTGCCTTAATAAAAGGAACATCTTCTGGTTGGTATCGCTCTGCGAGACTACGATCGAGTTCAAACACAGAAGGTATACTCGATCTTTCGAACTCAGTCGCAATGGCAAAAATGATCGCTCCAATTACGTCGAGATGGTATTCCGACACGACTCGAACCGAGAGAAATCGGTCAAGACAATTGACCGCTAGATAGACCGTCTCGATGGGGATGTGGAGATACGTTGCGAACCGAATAAACTTCGTACAGATCTGTAGTCGTGACGCCCATCTCTGCGGCACGCACTCTTGAATTTCCATGTAATGTGCCAAAGGCAAAGTCTTTCGCTGATTTCGGAAATTAGCGACAGCCCAGCCTGATACTCGCGAGCGATCTTATTTACCTCAAGTCTTCTCAAAGCAAAGAGACTAGCGCTATCGTACTCTTTGATTATTTCCGAGTCATCTTCATGGGGCAGATATTTCTTGTCGTCTGCCTTGTGTCAGCGTACCTTGGAGGATTGAAGGACTCGAAAACGCTCACCGTTTCCAACATGCCACTTTGTCGCCCATATCTGGAAGCTTTCGTGGGAGTCAAGAGCACGTCCAGCCATAGATACTATGCAGAAAAGGCACAAGCTTATAGAGGTGCTGTTTTTGCAGAACCTTCGGGTTCTTCCGTTTGGGTACTGTACATATCAGTTGCTTTTATCATCCAAAATAGTTCTCACTAAATGGCTTTTCAAATGGACATGAAAAGCGGGTCTTGACCTTTCCTCCCCCTATGCTCTTCTCTTCAAGGGATCGACTCATTGCAGCCTTCCTCGTCATCATATAAGAGGTAAATACTGCTCCAAGACGCTCGTCAGCATCAGAACCGGCTCTCGGCGTTCTGCGCCAACTCATACATAACTCGTTTCTCCCAGCTCATCAACTTCCTTTGGCCGATACGTAAAAATCGCGATGACTTTCACCTGAGAATGGCGTTACAATGCCCGACACAAAAACAGATGGAAGAAATCCATCGTTTTGTTTTCCATGACCTTTTCAGTGACGCAATTAAGTGTGTGGATTTTGTTTTGGTCAGTAAAGACTTTACATGCCTCCTGCATGGGGAATCCCCGAGATATCTCGCATTCCGGCAACTGCAACCTCAACAACGCCAAGCGGGTTGTCCGATCATCCGCTACCTGGTATCGTCCGACGCTCACTACAACCCAAAGAGAAGAGAGGTAGTTCTCAAAGACCTCACGTTAGCCGTTTGGGACTCGTCAATCGACCAAAGTGCTACAATAGTGACCACATTCGACAAGCTCTTTTCACAAACCGCGACGGCCGTGACAACGACGGCGGTGTTTTATGTGCAAGGGCGCCTCTGTTTGCAGCCAATGGTTATCGAGGGCCACGATCTGTCTTCAGTATCAAAATATCGCCTACCATTGCATGCAGAACTCGCTATGTCGAACGAGATATGCACGTGGGACTTCGTTCTACGTAGGGACGTCAAGAAACGGCAGCGAAAGCAGCTCCGTGACAACGTGCGGCTGACACTGAATGGGCCGGACATAGATCCACGAGTTCGGCGTCTTCTGCAGTTGACACTGGATCGAATCCAACTCAAGAAAACTCGAAAGTTAGAGCATAGTTAAATTTTCAAAGATGTCTGTACTCCAGTCTGTCAATTTGGATTTGCTGAATATCTCTCGCACCGTCTATATCATTCCAAATTCATTTCTTCCAGGTCATACCCCCAAAGCCATAATGCCGAGGACTACCATCGTGCAACAGCTGCCGTTGCCGTTGACATGTCACTAATGCGCCCAACATGAAAGTGCAGCATGACATAGTCAGAATACAGGAGAAGGGCTTGGTTTTGTAACATCTTGCATCCATCTTTGCTTCGCTTGTGGCGTATCTCTTCTTCCTTGAGTTCCATGGGTTCTGTCCCCACGACCTTTGCTTCTGTTGTGGGCTCAAGGAAGTCAACAGACCAACCACCGCCAAACGCGTACCATTGGCACGGATCGGTGAGCCTTGAAAAGTAGTGTAGCGTTCCCATCCAACCAGCATTCAGAAGAGGGGTTCTCGTGGTAATTGAATGATGCGGCGTGTCATCAGTTCAAGCGAGGCAAATGCATCAGGTTACCCGATGCCGCCTTGTCCCACACAAGAATAGGCTTCCGAAGAAGGCCACAGAAATAAGCAACGGTCTCCTGATGAATCAAGCTACGACACATGTTCGAAGTATGCCGCATGAGTTCTTTGACAACGTATCTTGGTCACCCAATCAAAAATGAATCTCCGTATTGTGCCACCACCTAGCCGACACGAGACCACTCAACGTAGCAATCTAATGCTATATCGAACATCTTGAAGTATTCCCAATCGCTCGCAACACAAGTCAATCTCTTTCCTTAGGTCTGTCATATCCAATCATGGTCGAATATGAAGATCACTCTAGCCCTGTCCCGTTGCGAAAAGGTAATCTCGTCTCTGCGCTGGAAGCACTTCAGCAACCTTGTTTCCATCAAAGTCTAGAACAACGACTAAATTCTGCGGTGCCTCGCTCTCGATAACGATTGGAGAGATCGCAGATCAGGCCGGCCTCTTTCTATGTCATGTCGTAGATCACCGTTCGTAGAGCCTCTTGCGTCCTATACTGATGTTGGCTGAGGCTCACCCGCTGATCAACACAAGCGTTTTGCTCAGCCGAGAAGCTCATCAGAATCATGTTGATCAACTGAAGATTACCTTCCGCCTTGGCGACCTGGGCTTGGTATTCTGGCGTTCTCGCTGTTTGTCGCTTGATCCGTGCTTCCAGCATTGCTTCTTTTGTGGCGCCATGGCGTCCAACATTATGCTGGCTTGGAGAGACGTCAGGCATATTGAGGTTTGTTTCTTAATCGTTCGTAACAGAGATGCCGCTTCAGATGCGAAATTTTTCAAGTGCGCGGTCACAATCAAGAGTTGATATTATATTCCGGTATCTTACAGTCGGAGCCGTTAGCGGCTGCTATCAGATGTCAAGACGAAAAGCCACCTTCATTTGGCCTCGTCTTGAGTTCAACTCGGTTGATGGGTAAAGCCATAAATAAATCTGGACGATGACGCGTGCTTAGTTGTACATACTAGATTGTACTGTACAGTGTGACTTCTCCAAGGTGAGTTCTGTAGTCACGATCCAGATGAGCCCATTGAGCGCACCCTCGTCACACTACACTCCACCTCATCCACGATGGGGCACTGATCACACGGCTGTACTGTCAATGGTGAGTTCAAATAACGAGGCTGGCAATCATGGCGGTCGAAAATTCATGATCGAAACGGACGAAATTGGGCACCGGAAAAAGACAAGAGGACACCGAAAAGCTTGGAAGGGTTCCGGATTTGGTGTTTGAGAATACCACGCCTTCCGAATAGGGGTCTCCGCCGAAACGACTCGTCTCACTGAAGCCACATTCAACGCCTCGTGGATCAACCCGGCCCTCGTGTTGTCGTGGTACCTGGCAGAATCTGGAATTCGACAGTAACTGTGTGCCACCCCAGAGGTGGAACAAGATTCCCTGAGAGCATAGATAGGGAAGACGATTCGGCTCCCCAATTCATCAGAAGCATCTACAATTCGTGCCGGGACTTGAAACGTGCCGATGGATGTCTCCTTTGAGTCCTTTGTCCCGCTTGGGTCTTGCCTCAGCATCCCATTCATGCTCCCGCCTTCTTTGTCGCGACCGAAGAGCTGGTTTCGTATCACTCAAGTAACAGGTTTCCGTCATAGGCATTGTAGAATATAAATCGGAGGTGATTGGGATGTCCCACTGCCGATTTCCGCAAGTCTATCGGCCTTGAGCAACTCACGATGGCACCAACCACCCGTTCCAAAACCACAAAGACCTCTGTCAGCAAGTCCCGTACAGCCAAGTCTTCCAAAACGGTGAACAAGACTGCGGTAGAGGCTTATGCCTTGAAAGCAAAGAATGTCGCGTCCACCTTGGAGGGCGAGCTTGAGGGGACCTCGGACGGCTTGCAGAAAGCCGTCTGGTCCCTGAAGGCACGTGCAGACGAGCTCGAGGCCGAGTTGAGTGCGGTAAAAGAAGAGCCTGGGGAGGCCATGCCGGTTGATGAAGACCCCGAATGGGAAGAAGATGCGCCGAGTGAAGCAGAAGACGAAGCTCTCTTCGTCTCTCGAACGGCTCTGCCTATCATCGTTACAGACGATCCGCTTGAGGATCCGTGCGACCTAGTAACGTCTGACAATTTTGGGCACCGTGCTGCGGATGACGAGGAAGGAGACGTCACCAAGTACGGCTATCTCCGTGGGCGCGGATTCAATCGATACCACGATGTCGTCGGCCGAGGACCACCTAACGCCGAGAAGCTGGAGCTCTTGCCGTCTTACGGGGTCCATGGCCAGAAGTGTCTCAACGACGAAAGGCGCGACCCGAACCAGATACGCTCCGAAAAGCAAGACGGAAGACTCAGAATCGCCATTCAAGGTGTTGCGTGGGTTATTCCAGAGGGCCATGAGGATCCGATCAGGTTGCTGGATCCGAAATATCTGGAGGTGAAGGCAAAAGACGACGCGCACTCCGATGAAAAGGGTGCGGGGAGAAAGCAGCGAAGGAAGCCCCTCCCACATACCGTAGTTAAGGTAAAGTGGTTGAATGAAAACAACCAGAAAACCTTCGAGACGAGGTCCACAGTCAGGTCGGTTTTCGGCATGAAGCCAATGGCCGCTGTCCGAGACTATACGATCGGGGACCGAGTCATTCTCGCCAAGGGCACGGTCATGCCAGCCGCCGACCTGGCCATCTTCTCAGCTGCCATCATCTCTTGGGACCGTCATGAAGAGTGGAAGAGGGGTGATCGGAAGAGAGAAGAGCGCAGCCCCACGCCTCACGATCCGCTGGAGGTGACAAAGCCCAAGCGTGGCGCGAAAAGAGCGGCCAAGTGACGGAGGAGCTAGTTAAGCGCGTCTCATTTCCGCCATGAAGCCCAATGATCTTAGGGCATAGATCGACGTTTGGTTGCCTGGATCGTTGTGTCGAATCTTTCTTCTCTTTCCTGGTCCTGACCCTTTCCTTTTTCCTCAGCTAGATAGTACAACAGTCGGAATTTGGGTTCTTCTGCATTTCACCATGTTTGTCCCCTAGTCTATGTCGCAATCGCAAATTCATCCACGCTAAGACAAACCCCTAAACTAAGTCGTTCCCTTACTCCGACCTTAATGTACCACAGAATCAACTCCTATATCTGAGACAGGAAAATGCCGGGGCGTCTGTGTTATGTGTAAGCTGTTTTTGCAAGAGCCGTGTGACTTGATCACGTACTCTGATATTTCTACCAGTCATATACTGGTCTTGAGATGCATTCCATATCTCAAACGACGGTTCTGTTTCTGCTTCTGAGTGCGGGACGTACACGTTGTTGCTATCTATCTAGAGCTTGTGCACGCAGCCAATGCGGGCACAAAGAGAATACACCAGCTTTTGCAAAAGACACAAAACCACTTGCACTTGAGAATTGACCATGGAATGAATCTTGGCATTTGCGTATGTAACCTAACCCTCGTCGTCTAGGTCGAAGTAACGATCTAAAATCTATCCGAAAACATCTGGCCCATAAACGAATGTCATTGACTGAGCTATGTTCTCTCCTATGCTTTCCCGTCCGCCCTACGCAGCATCGTCCTCTTTCACAGTATCCTCTCCTTCCTTGAACGTCCATGTCCTGATGTGGTCAAGGCAGGTACCGTCCGGAAGCTCTGCGATGAACACGTCGACGGATTCTCTGGTTTGGATTTCCGGAGGGCCATGCGAGGACGAGTAAACGAACTGGAGGTTGTCCACCGGCTTCAAAACATCGTGTGTGGACAGAAAGCTCGACTCCTGGACTGCACTGTTTTCCGAGACGAAAAGGTTCGACGGAACACTCATGTATCCCTCTTTGGTGCCGGGATGGAGGAGGCTGTAGAGGTGTAGGTGAAGGGCGGCTCCGGCCCCATCAATCTTGAGTAGAAAACTCTCCTCGTCAATCTTGTCGCCATTCCTCAGCGAGCCCTTCAACGAAGAGATGAGATCTTCGTCGTTCTTGGAAGTGCTTGAAAACCGTTTCGACAAGCTTTCCTGCTTGCTCCCGAGCGCCAGAAGCAAGTGGAACTCCCGATTCTTCTCCCCTGCAAGGATGTCACGGAGGTCATTGCCGATGATCAACAGGAAGAGATCCTGTTGAGATAGCTTTTCGAGATAGGTGTCGTTCTCAAAGATGAGCTTCTTCAGTTTCTTCCAGTCATCGCTGGTATTGCTCGGGGTTGAGGTGGCCATGGCTGTGAGAGATTTGTCGGTTGATGGGTTTCTCATGGCGTTTCCAAAACCTGGCTGACTAGCAGCTTATAATCCTTTCTGGTCTCCACTGAAGGAACTAAAGCTGGCTTCGCAAAGCGATCTCCAAATCTGGAGCTCGCGTTTCCCGCATGGTCGCCAAATAACGACAACGGGATACATTGAATATCCAGCCGAAGCGGTACGCAGTGCGTCCAATTGGTGATCATTAGGCTGCTGTGGTCCCTTTGCTCGTGAACCCTCGCTCGTGGACCCTTGCTCATGGACCCTTGCTCGTGGACCCTTGCTCGTGGACGGTTTTGGCTCAGAGGCGAAATGCGTTGCGATCCCTGCCGGTTGTGGATCAAGCTCCGCCTTGCCGTTGGCAAGAAACGTCGCCTCGTCGGCCTAGACTCCGCGGCACCCCAGCCACGATGAGCGTGAGGTCTAGACGCGGCGGTACGTACCTGGAGAGCAACCATTCAGCAACCGGCCGGATGCAGGCGCAAAGCAGCGAAGCGAGAAACGCCAACTTCACTTCTGGATCAGAGCACATTCCGTGCCTTGAGCCTAAAGCAGCTTCCACTCTAAGACCCACTTGTTTGCGACCGCAACAGCACATACAATAGTCAGCTGGGCTGCATCGACTACTTAGGATGTCCTGAATCAGCGGATACGATTGATTTGCAAGATGAGTTCCGCACCATAACCGCGCTGCTTTTCGCCTTTGGCTTGTCCACCCTCCTTCCTTGCCCTCATACCCCGCCGGCCGTCGACAATGTATACACAACAATCGAATGGGCGTCCACTCAGAGGATCCCATCCAGTACAGCAGCGCCGATTGTTTTACCTGACCCGTGACCCGCGTGCGGTTCAGAGTAGCGGCAATGGCGGCCATGGTAGCCACCAGCAGGCTGCCGGGGGGGAAGTGAGAATGCAGAGACAGCCTCCGGCGATGGCCGCGGTGCAGGGTAGAGACGGCGTCCAAGGCGGCTCAGTCAGGCCTCAATTACCTCAAGGTCTCTCAATGTAAGAGGATGTGAGAATTCCCGAATGCTCCATACTAACCATTCATTCGTAGAACAAGACCCCGAGAGAACCCCCAGAACACGTCACCCATGCAGGAACAGAACCTTGAGCTGGAGTATGTCTATTCTTAAAAGCTCTCTCGTCTGGAAATTGCCCGGCATCACCTAACCCCTGCATAGGACCTACTTGTCCGAAAACTTCAGTACCCTACAGCAGATTCTCTCCGACACCACGGATAGGTATGTTCAATCGCCGGTTACGGCCACTGGCAATGTATGCTGACATATCGCGCCATTCGAGACTCGATCGTTTGTCTGCCAGAGATGAGGCTTTTCACAAATCATTCGAGTCAACCTTGACTAACCTCACGGAGCGGTAAGTTCATTTGAGAATGGATACTGTTGGCGGTGCGTGCTAATGCCTGGCATGTGTAAAGCGTTGAGAAGTTGGGCGTCAAAGTAGAGAGCTTCTACAAGCTAATCGAATCGGCTCAGGCGTTTCCTGCGCCTGAGGTCTTGGACACGGACGGCGTGGATCTAGGAGACATGACCAATCTTGTCAACTTTTAGTTATTTGCGCGCAGGACACACTTTGTGATTGAGGCGGGGATCTTTGTTATGCGATCGCACGACCAACGAGGACGCGAGTGAGAAGTGATAGAGGGATACAGGGGCAAGAGTTCGTCTGCTGAGTGTGTAGCGTCGTCCGGGCACAAGGCTAAGAGAATGAATGCAGCGAATGTGCTGGCATTGGGCCTCATAGGTACCGTAGACACACGAAAGGTTGCCAATCCCCTGGTATGAGGTCTCGATAGGTCATCTCGCAACTGAACACGGAGTGGACCTGCATTGTATTGTCTTCCTATGGCTCGACGGTCCCGACTTATCACGTGCGTTGTTGAGCGGCCGGCCTGTATAAGTAGGACGCGACCAGCTGCAACCAAGCCGTCTCGAGGTCTCGCCATCATACCTTCTCTCACTTTCTCTTCAGACATCATACCAGAGTCACACAACCATGTTGGACAGACTACCCCCCGAGCTTGTTGATATCATCTTTGACGATTGTGACCGTCCAGCGCGGATACGCATCTTGCAGTGCTCCCAGAAGTTTCGGCAAGCCTTCGGACCACGGATTTATCGGCACAACGTTCTTTCAGAACGCTGTTCTGCTGCTCGATGGGCAGTTCTCCACTGCCGTGATGATGCCGTGGCATTTCGCGTAGTCGAGGCATCGGTGTATGCTGGGATGGATGTTTGGGCCCCGCAGTTCGCCATCGCGGTGACCGACATGTTCTCAGGGCGGTTTGTATCCAAATTTTCACGAATTCTGCGTCAGCCTCCTACTGACTTGTCCTCGTTTGCCGTCGCCGTTCTCAAGGGGAGAGAGGAACTCGTCACGTCTATTCTAAGCATGACGAGTGCAACGGAATGGCACTTGGACAAGTTGCTTGCTCCAGAGATCACGACGTATCTGGGAAAGTTGACAAGAGATCAGCCATCATCGAGTAGTCAACTTACGCCTCTTCATATTGCCTCCGCCACCGGTCTGGACGCTGTTGTCAAGCGGATCCTCGGGAAAACGCCACCGGGGGTGGTCTCGAAAGACGCGCGTGGCCGCACCCCGCTGTTCTATGCGGTACAGTGCCCGCTTACACGTAGTTCGACCGTCCAACTACTCCTTCGACAACAGACCGACTTGTATGGCAAGATAGCCCCCGAGAACCATGCGGACCTTCTCTTGGAACGCTGTTGCCGAAATGGCCTATTTCGCCTTGCCGCATGTTTCCTTGAACATGAAGTAAGATGTGACCTGCAACATCTCCTTCGCTTGGCTCTTCTGGCTCTCCCGACGTCTCTTCCGGGGAGGTCTAGCTCCGATAGAGCCGTCTTGATTCGGAGGCTGATTCGACGCGGGGTCAATCCGAACGGCATGGTGCGGGCAACAGATGTTGATGTTGATAAACGGCCGCTCCTTGTTGAGTTGGTAATGACATCTCATTCGGCAACAAAAAGTCTGCTTGCCATTCGAGGCGTCGATGTGAACATCCAGGATGAGTACGGCCAGACGGCCTTAAGTCTGTTGTTATTGGAAAACCACTCGGCGCGCAAGACGGTAGCACTGCTCCTGGAGTGCGGGGCAAAGTTACAGCCACACTCCCTTGGAGGTATCATACGGGATACAACGTTCCGGACGCACCAGGAGCTCGTGACGTTGCTTTCACGTCGCGAAAACACATTCGAACTGTTTCGTCTCCTTTACAAGCACTGCAACTCTCACTCGGCGAAGGACCAGACGGAGGTCAATTTCCTGGCCTCAATTCCTTGGGAGTCCGAAATAGTGGCACGAATGTCTGACAGTGACATCAGAGACATTCGAAAGGGAAATGTTTTTCCTATAAGCCCATATTTCGATTTAATTCTGGCACCCAAGGGCCATCATGGTTCTCAAGGCCAAAGACAGCAAGATGTAGCTTGGAGATAAGGTCGTTGTCCAAGGGCTTTGCGGTGCAATCGGATTCGAGTTCGTGAGTGAGAGCATCTTGACGGGGGCGGGAAAAAGGGGACTATGGCGTCAGGTCTTTCCCGTCATATATAGATATGACAACGTGAATGAATAAACTATATTATAGATTTGATGAATTCGGTGATCGCATGCTACATAATCTACAAGATGCGTAACAAAATCGGCATTGCTTACGATGGGCATCAGCCTTGCTCCTGTCACGCGTGAATCCACGTCAATTCGGTCATCAGGTTTCATCAGCTGGTGTTTGTCAAGACGGAATGTCCGGCGTCATAGCAGACGGACTCGCTTTCTTGACGGCTTAGTAGCATCGTCCGCTGGCCGCTGGCTCTTGTGTGCCATCAGCTCAGTCGTCGAAAGCCTCCTGTTCGATTTTGCAACTGCCGGCGCCAACTTGTCTGCTATCCCACCAACTCTCCGCTGACCATGACTGTCCCTCTTCCGAACCTGTCGCCGGGCTGGTCCTACTGCGTTCGTCTGTGCCGTGGCTACCGTATTCGGACCCGCTACCGCATTCAAGCTTCGTCGACTATGCCTCCTCGACCACCGAACGACCGGTATCGCTGCCCTTTCACGTCCACGCTCGCCAACCGCAGAACTTCCTATAGTTGCCCGCTCGCTGTATGGCACATCACTTTGAGGCTCCCGTGGCCACTCAAGCGACGCGATCCAACACAGATCCAGTGTTACGATGCTTGCGGTCGTTGTCATGTGCTTCTCAACCTCTGGAATGACCTCTGGAATGCGCTGCGAGCTCTCCGCCATGGCACCCTCTCGCATGCCCTTCACACCATCCCAGTAGGAAAGCAGGTGTTGACCAGCACATTATCGTATACTCGCTTCCGGTTCCCATGTCAGAGCGCCGTTTCTCCAGCGCACGCGCATGTGAAATATCGTCTGGGTCTGGGGGTCTCGACGATGACCAACAATCTTGTCGAAGATGAGGAGGCCGTGTGCGTCAATAGACACATCCTCGCTGCCCGCGTCGACTACATGTCTGCTCCCAGCAGTCTCTGTTGGCGGAGACCTGGAATCGTTCACTTGGTCGCCAGGGGCTTCTATGACTACAGCTGTGCCACAATTAGCAGGGGAGAAAAAGGCTTGGAGAGGAAGACGACCTGGCATATCACCCCTCGCAAGCGTGCTCGTATCACGCAAACCACGATTTTCCATCAGCCATCCCGAAGTTGACGTAGCGCCAGAACGTGGGGATGTAGCACCAGCTGTCGCATCATCCACTGTGCTGTCCACGTCCGCTGCTGCGTTGTCGCGTGCTGACCGGGCATCCAGATCACAGCGCGCGACAGTCCGCTGGGCGCATGGCGTCACGGTAGTTATGTCTCCATGACCGTTGGTTGAGTTACTGTTGACTTGATCTTCGTCGGGCCTTCGGAAGAAAGCCCTGATAGATGCGATTATACCAGGCCACGGTCTGGCGCGGTCAGCAGCAGCTCTCTCTGTTTGAGTCAGGGGCTGTGCCGAGCCGACATAAGGCGAGCTAGATGGGCGAAAAGGCGCTCTGACAGCACCCGAACGTTCGACTTTGGCGCCTGCGCCATCATCTCTGGCTTCGGTCCTGCACGCCGGCAGCGCCTTGCCGGGCTGTTGAGGTGTGATCGGCTGCATTGGGCTCAGAAGGAAGGTTTATTGCTCGATGATGCTACAATTCATTCACAATAGGTTGCTTGTTGGTATGTATGTAGACGTCGACGTTGTTTCTCGCTACCAGTCATTGGTTCAAGCGGACCGGAATTTGCAGTTGCGAGCTGGGATGCCAACAACACATCGTAGAGACTCGTGTAGGGACTCGTGGTGTCTCAGGGACAGTGGCATGAGGTGAAGGAAGCGGAGCACGTGATCGTCAATTTGGAGGGCGCTTTCGGCTTTAGGTGTCACACAGATCCGATGGCCCTGCAAAGTTGTTGTGGCCAGCCAGTCGAGGCTCCTTCCCCGGCCACGGGCCACATGTGCGCAAGTCCGGGCCTGGCTCCGATCGCACAGACCAATCAGCCACCCAACGGATCGGTCTAGGCCTTTAGATCTATTTGTTGCTCCCAAAGTGAGCCTGGATGCGAAACTAGAGCTCACGAATCTCGACTTGTCCGACGTCGATTCCGACCCAAACGCAGAATGGCAGGGACAAGGGTATAATCGCGCCTAGAATCGCCGCTGATATCATATTCTGTTGCAAAGCGAGGAAGTTAG